ATTCATGTATCTGTGCTGCTCACGACAGTTTCATTCTTAATTTATTTGTAAGCTACACAAAGACCAATTTGGCAATTAAGGAATGCTCTATTCGCTCTGAGGGCAGTCGATGGATTTGCCCAGTGGAGTGACGTCACCGCTGAGCCCGCCGTGTTCGGTTTGTCCTCGTACGAAGTTCCGCGACGTGACGGCTTGACGGGAGACGATTTTAAGTTACGAGCCGGCACGATAAACAAACTGTAAGGAATGAGGCTCTGTCTCAACAAAACAGCAGCGAACCCACTTGTCTATTTGAACGCCTTCAAATCGGCAAGGTGATTTTTTAATGTTGATACATGTTTGTTTGTATTTACTTAAAACCGAATGAAAATCAGCAGCAGCAACAAATCTCTTGTCAACAGTCCAGCTGACAAAAATTTGACGGCACCTCCGGTCTTGCCCAGTTAACAAACCGCCTCTGCTACCGACACAGTTTTGGTCATGTATGTGCCATAGTTCTCTTCGTCCGTATCTGTCGGAGATGGATGGTGATTCCTTTGTCCCTGTTCTTGAGCAACGTAACCGTCTTCGTGTTGAAAGTGGTACTTTATGGACGTCTTGTGCTGCGTCATTTTACATTGTACTGTTAAAAAACAACAACCAAAAAACAAAAGATAGTAAATGGGAAATCGTTTGAAGAGGTGACTGTCTATAAATATAGATCTACTTGTTTCCGTTTGAACATGTTCCACTGTATTAAAAAAAAAACAACCCCAAAAACAACCTTGATGTCTGATAATACCGGAATCATCTTGGTGTGTGATCCCGTCCATCTGCACGGCTGATCTGCTTTCCTCTCCGGGTTCTCGCGAGCCTTGTTGACTGTACGTCTCAGAACAGCCAAAACTCGGACCAAACTTGGAGAATTATTAGTAGTATTCTTCTACAAGAGCCGCGTGTGCCTCCACCAAGTTCGTGTTCAAAGTCACACTTTTTCACCGGGAATACCTGACGGCTTTTCTAAATGTGAAGTGGATGCGAATTATAGATTCCGTGAAGCAAAATGAGTTGCATATTGATTCACCTTCAAACCTTTTTTGTTGCCAAATGAATAACAAAATTTCATATTATATTATGCTGTTTTCAAGATCAGAAAATGAATTCAAACCAGCCGCTACGTCAAGATAAAAGGGAAAAAGGTAGTAAAAACTAGGAATAAATAAACCATCAAATAAGGAAATAATTAGTCTATTAGTGTCATGTAAACACCCGGCCATTGGCTCTCCCTTCGCTGACAGCGCGAGGCACGGAAAATGCACTTTCCTATCAGCTGATGATGTTATGCTTTCACAGTGGCCAAGTGCGATCCCACCTCCCTTCCCTTCTGTCTCTCCGCGCTACGGCGCACACGATAATCTATAATCACAACGAACCGCAACTCTCCACTCCCATCGCCAGGTCTCGCAGCCAGTGGGCGGGGTTTGGACGTCTCGGGAGTGCTGCAAACGACCAATGAACGTCGAGTTGGGTGCCGGTGGAGACAGCTAGCGAGCGCCGACAAAGCCCCGGTATGCCAAATCCTCCCGATGAATGACAGCTTTGAGAAAACTCAATAAGAGAGCTGCAGCGGGCACGATTGGAGGCGTTGAAAGGGCCGCAAGCACACGACTATTACACCCTACCCTCTCCACCTTGCGAGGCTTTCGGAGCTCGGATAAAAAGTAAAGTTTCCCGGAGAAGCGGTCATAGTGTGGCCCGTTCGCTCGTCTAAGATAGGAGGGCTGTTATTCTTCGCGTGAAAGACGACATCATAACAGCATTTGGCGGGTGCTCAACTTCTGAAAAGGTGTGGATTTCTTGTGTCTGAGAGCTCTGCGCGTTTATGGACTTTGTCGGAAGGAATTTACTTTGTAACGTTGTAGCCAGTTGATAACTTGGACATAGTAGAACAGAAACATGCACACACAGTTAATGACCTGCCGGAGACTTTGTGTATTATTGCATACAACAGACATACAGCTCTGACTGTAAAAAGTGTCTTGTGTTGACTTCAGTGTGTTTTTGGCGTGATCACCACCAAGGCTTTTGACTTTCGTGTTTTCATCTGAGAAAAATTTGCTCGACGGAGATTGTCTACAGTCTATTGCAACAAGGGTTGTTGTAGCTCGGAGAAAGTTTCAGTGAACCTGTTCCCGGTCATACTGGTGTGCCACTGCCCTTTATGTTTCCGACTGTGCACCAACAAAACAGAACGCGACAAAAGACTTTCATTGCTGTCTTCGTTCCAATTCAGTTCGATGCTGTTAGATTCTGGAAACAGTAACACGGTATTCAAACCGAGCTTCGAACTTGACAACACATCCTATATCGGTAGGCCTTTATTTGTTCAGGACTGCAGAACTATTGGAAGATTCCTGGAGTGAGCGCTCTCGCCCAGTTCATTCTCAATTTCCCGGCAATATTTTCTTCTTTCAGACTTCCGTTGGGAATTTCTTCGTGACACTGATCTTCCTTATCTTGTCCGCGACTGAGAGTCTGAGAGAGTGATTTCACGTTCCTCTCGTCAGCCTGGGTTGTGTGCTTCTTCCTCTTCAAGTCTCTATCGGACCTCATAACGATCATCTCCCCGTGAGACGTCATCGTGGTCAGCCTAGCGGATAGTGACCCCTACCAGACGCCGTATCGGAGACGGACACAGTCGTCAAAAGTAAAAGCTGTCTGCTTCAGCTGTCGGTGGCAGCGAGATACGAGGTCAGAGGTCAAGCGGTGCTGGTGACCACAACTGCTCGACACGCCGTCGGTGAGTACGATGAATCAATCATGATGTCTCCGTCCCCCCCCCCCCTCCCCCAC